GTCACGTCGCACTTGAGGGCGTCGCGCGTCTCGGCCTGCGCCTGCGCCTGCGCCTGCGCCTGCGCGGTCCCGCGGCCCTGGATCTGGTCTAGCAGCCCGCCCACTTTTTCCTGCTGGCGGCGCGGTAGGTAGCCGCGCTCGTCCAGCTGCGCCTGCGCCTCCTTGTGCAGCTCCACTCCCGCGGCTGCTTCAGCCTCCAGGTGCGGCCCGACCCGGTCCTGGAGGCGCTGGCGCTCGTACAGCCCGCCCGTGGCCGCGCCCCCTTCGCCCCTCGCTCTGCCAGCGTAGCCCGCTCGCCCTCCAGGCTGCAGTTGTGCCCTTGGAGCTGCCGCACCGTGGGGATGAAGCCCGCGAAGCGGTCGCTCAGCGCCTGCAGCCGCACCTTCTCGCTGCGCGCCACCGCCGCCGCTGCCGCCACTGCTCCCAGCAAGCAGTGCGGGCCGGTGTCCTCACGATGGTACAGAGAAGGTGCGCGGCACAAGCCAGTCCTTAATCCTGTAGCACGGGGCTCCGACATTGCACCCCAGCCAGATCCTGCTCCCCGGCTGGCCCAGCACACTCCCCAATGAGACCACAGCTGCCCTGGTCTGGGACAAGGACCGAGCTCTATTCTGGATCTGGGCAGATCTGGGTTTGAATGATCCCTTGTGCTTGTGCCAGATCAAGCCTGCTGCAGGCCACCACCAGCAGCCCAATGTGACACCAGCCAACTCTAATTCTAGACAACTCAGACCGGCCTCTGACCAGAGCCTGGACCTGCTCCTAAGGCTTGATACAGGAAAATAAAGACTCCCAACCTGAATGATATCTGGGACGAGTTCGTGTTCTCTAAAATTGAAGAATGAATTTTAGGAACAATGGAGGTTAAGAGCAGAATATATTTATTGAGGGAAGGAAAACTTCTGGCCAAGAGAGGGACAGAAGAGGGCCCGAGTGGGTTGCCAAGGACTCTGTCTTTTGTGGGACTTTATAGGGCAAAACCACGAGGTGAGGCGGGTTCAACATAGGGGGAAAATGGGAAATTACAAGGTGGGCACGAGGTGGGACAAAACTATGGTCAGCCAATGAGATTACAAGTATAATTGTTCAGGTAAAATGGAGTAAACTGGAATCAAACGGGCTTCTCCTGTAGGGGGTTGGGCTAGTGACTCTGGCTTTTTGAAGGTGACTGCTACCTATTTAGAACATCAATCCCTGATGTTTACACCTAGGGAGGTGTATGGGTACATTTGTTTAGTCCTTTGTCTTGAGGACTGGCCCACAGCAAATGTCTCCATGCACATGGTATCTTGTCTTTCATGTTGGCTCCTTTAAGGGCCTGGCCCCGTCTGACTGCCTATAATATTTCTAGCTAACTCAGCTGCCTATAACAGGCTGATCCCCACCGCATGTGAACCCCTGGGAACAAGGCGAGTGGCACTGCCTTTCTTTTTTTGAAAGAGAAAAAAAATGCAAAACAAGATAATAGGGTAACAATGGTTAATACATTGCATATTGTTATTTTTAAATTAGTTACTCAGAGTACAAGATATAGGCATTTAATTGTCCAAACAATATTAGCAAAAACCTTTCTTTTCAATGCACTAAGAGAAATTACTAATATAACTAATGATCCTAACTTCAGATCCAGAAATAATAGAGCAGTTAGCAAGACCTATGTGGTGGACCAGGACTGGAAGGAAAGTCCATCTCTGTTTCTTGGCTTTTTCTAGGACTCCAGCCCTCCTCCCTGTCCTTGAGGCTCTTGGGCTTGGATTCCAGTTTGAGGCCACTGCTGAGGGATCATCCCTGCATGCAGGCAGTGGCCCTCATAGAGAGAAGGTGACTTTCCAAGGCGGGATGAGTGACAGTCACCCCTCTGCAGCTGGGAAATGTAAACCTAAGTGCACCTTGGCTAATATGGCTGCTTACATAAAGACTTCAGAGGTGAACCCCCAACAGCAGTTCTGACCTCTTCCGCTTACAGAGCATTTGTAATGGTGCCCCTCTGTCCATCTTCGGAAACCACACAACACAGGATCAGAATCAGCCACGGGCAACATCCAAGACAGTCTGGATTTATGAGAAGCCCATGTTCCTGCTACTGTTTCTATCTGGTTATCTACCCAAAGCCTCCTGTGCTCAGAAATAATGTTGCTTGTGGAAGGTGAGTGGGTCAAGAGGGTAGAACAGATGGCTTGGCACTAGCAGGCGGGGTCTGGTTGGAAGAGGCGCGTCACGGGGGCCACAACCTGGAAGGGTCCCTCCTCCCCTGGCACCACCCTTCATACTCTGCACCCTGCCAGGGATAGGCTGAGCAGCTCTCCCCTGCCCAGCCCTGTTCACCATGCTGCAGCTGTGCAAGGACTGAACCTTCTCAAACGTGAGCCAAAGTAAACCTCTCCTCCTTTAACTGTACTTGTTGGGTGTTTTGTCCCAGCGACAAGGAAAGTCACTGAGATAGTTTCTGACCTGGACCACCCAGAAGATAGGCTTTTGAACATGATGTATCCTGCTGACCTTTTATTAACAAGGAATTCAAATGCTTTATCTGCTTTGGAGAAACTGGCTCTATAGCAGGGCTCAACTAATTTCTTTTCACATTACTTAGTGAATGAAGTGGGGGATATTCAAACATCATCTTTCCAGAGCATGCCCAATCTAGTACTGTCCTCACTGGTCAGACTGATGTTTATTTTGATATCCACTAATAAGTGTTTTTCATTCCGTACTAATTAAAAATTGAGCCAGACATGGTATTCGTATCTGTAATCTCAGCACTGGGGAGGCTGAAGCAGGAGGATCACTATGAGTTCAAGGCCACCCTGAACTACATAGTGAGACCCTGTCTCAAAAAAAAAAAATTAGACCTTCAGGAGAGTTAGGGTGGGTGTTTATATATCTAATTATGGCCTCTGAAAGGCAATCCATAAAGAGGGGTGGGTGTTCATCCGTCCAGTGGATGATTTTTCTGAGGCACTCATAGATGCCCTGTTTTTAGTTTTTTCCATTCCTGCCAGGAGGCAAGTGATCATATGATCACAATTTGACCTACCAGGGTTGCCAAGTTGATATTTGGGGTTTTGGGGCTCAGTCGCAGGGAACACTTTAGCTGCCTCAATGTGCCTTTCAGGGTGTGGTGGTGTTCACTGGCATGGTTTTCAGCTGCCTGCCGAATGCACTCCCTTTCATCATCGGTAAGGATGAACAAGATAAGGAAAATATCCCCCCAAATGAGATCATATATTTGAGTAGGAGGCATTCTTTCTCAATTTAGGGAGATTTTCTGGAAAGGACCCCGTTCTTTGTTGGAAATGTCCTAGATCAGTAATTGAGAAAGAAACAGGAGGATGAACAGGCCCGTCAGTGCCTGCTACCACACAAAGGAGCAGGACGGGATGAGATGTAGGATGCGATGGTCTGGGTGAGAAGAGAGTACAAGAGTGTGTCTACAGGGTGAAGCGGGCAGGCTTTAGCAGGGGGCTGGGCTGATGCATGCTGGAGAAGAGGAGGAGTGCTAGTGGATGGAGGGCTTCATGGTTGGGAGGTTGTGGGTCCAGCTGAGGTTGCTGAGTGGGGGGCAATAGGGTGGGGATCATCAGTGGGATCAAATTCAGCAGCAGAGGGGAGGAGAGGGGGGTAAAGGCGTGATGTTGTCAGATTGGGCATGCAGATAGGAGGTTTTTTTGCAGGGTAGGAAGTTTTTGTTCATTGAGAAGAAACCCCATCTAGATGATGCTCTACCTTAGGGTGGCTCCTCTACACCCTAGGGTGTAGAATTGCTGAGCCAATTTAGTTAAGCTTCTAAACTTCTCAAGTTGATACACTCAACCACTACAATCTGATTGTGGCATATAACTGGAGAAACATACAGCATCATAGATATACAAGTAATACCAAAAAATGGGAGGAAAAAAATGGAAACAAAGCTTGGGTAAATGGGCAGGGAAAGAGGGTTGGAGGGGAGGGGAATGGAAAAAAATAATTGATATATTATGCACAGGCACAAATTCCCAATAATGAATGTGACCATTATGTATGATAAATATGCACTAATAAAAATAAAATTTTTTTAAAAATAAATCAATGTACAAGTAACAATGTACTTCCCCTTTTCTAAATCTTTGTTTCCTGTTTTATTTTGTTTTTTGGTGCTGAGGATCAAAGCTAGGGCCTTGTATCTGCTAGGCAGGTGCTCTACCACTCAGCCACGGCCCTATTACACAATACACAAAGTTGTTGGGCATGGTGGTGTATGCCTGTAACTCCAGCACTACAGAGGCTGAGGCAGGAGGATTGCCACAGGTTTGAGGCCAGCCTGGGCTACATAGTGAGTTCAAAGCCAGCTTGAACTACATAGCAAGACCCTGTCTCCAAACACCTCCCCACCACCCCAAAAAAGCCACAAAGTTGACCAAGTACCACTCCAGGATAAGTAAGATTGTCTCTTCTGAGAACCTGTAGAAGCCAGATGTGTTTCAGTTCTTTAGACAGATGTGTTGGTATGTGACAGCTCATTTAGTCATGTAAGAGTTTGAAGTGTCAGGAATTCAGATTCCATATTTACCCATTTGGGGAGGAACTTTCTCCAGTGGACTTTTTGTAGTTTACTGATTATCTTTCCTAGCACTTCTCAGTGATATATTAATAGCCGTAAGTTTGAGGCCAGCCTGGGCTGTGTACATAGCAAGTTCAAGGCCACCCTGAACTGCACAGCAAGACTCTGTTTCAAAAAAACAAAACAAAAAGACAGAGATTATCTTCAAATGAACTTTAGTCTAGAATCCAAATCCAGCTCTATTTGTGGGGTAGGCATTAAGAATTCAGTTTTTATCAGGCAGAGCCCTGGGGTTCAATCTGTACCTGGCACGGCAAAATCAGTTATGATCTCCCAGATATACACCTAGGAGATTTAAACCACCTTCAGCAATAGTTTTTCACTGACTTAACCTGGATGGTAAGATAGCACTACTCAGTGATTGGCAGGTTCTTTCCATCACTTTAAAGAACCAGTCAGTGCATGTAAGCTCTTTCAATTAACTTTATTGAATAGCCAAAGTGATAAGTTAGCACAGATCAAACAATTGTTTGCATGGGTTACAAATGACTTTTTTTTTTACAGGAATAAACAGTGAAAATTACAAACCGTAAAAAGGAAGACAAATCTTGTCTCACTTCAGAGAACAAGATTTAACACAGCACACTGAAGATCAATACATATTTGAATTTGAGAACAAGAATTTAATGTTACAATATTATACACTACTTTACAAAATTAAAATTTCTATATAAGGATTATATTCATAATAGTTAACAAATCTTGAAATCACATTTGGTGGTCCCCTAGATAATAGCTGTTATGCATCTTTGATTAGAAGAAATAAATCTTTTACTCTAATTATTGCAAAACAGTCTATTAGACTCAATACATTACATTAAATTAAAAACAATGAGAAAGCATATGCAAACTAAAATAAATGGTATGGCTTGGGTGACTATCAATTAGTATGTCAGACTTACAGAAATGTTATTTAAAAAATTCTAGAAATTAGAAAAATAGAGTACTTTTTATGGTAGAACTGCCATGCTCAGACTTATATAACCAAGATTGCCCTTGTCTGTTATTTTAGTAGTTGTAGATCTGTAGAAAATTCAAGGATCTTTCATAATTTACAACTACGATAAAAAAAATATGGCATAGTGTAAATATTAGTTGCTTTACATCAAAAAGTAATACAGGATGATAAGGCAGGTAGCGCCTTACTACCCCGCCCAAAAATCAAACTAAAAAACACATTCAGTATTGCAAAAAATAATTGTTTTATATCAATAGTCCCAAAAGGTTCATTTGTTTTTTTATTTGGAGAACAAATATTGTGAATCATAACTAAAGTTATGTATTTTATGACCTGTTAAAAAATTATCCTGGATTGCACATGTTATGTAATATCTAAAATAATTTTTAAAAGTAAATTTGTGAAATATACTAGCAAAGCACATGGTAATAACAAGAATCATACCCACTTAGGGATATAGTGAGGCACAAGGAAGATTATCCCTAAAATCACAAATGTTGCCCTCTGGAGAAGTCCTTACTACTATTAAGAAAGGACCTACAAATATCAACATTTAAAATCACATTTAGAAGAAAATTTTGGTTAAAGAAACACCAGTACATAATGACTCTGTTTCTTAAAAGAGGGGAAAATATAATTTAGTTTGGTGCAACCTGAAAACCACTTCCCGATAAATGAAGCCACTCTCAAGGAAACTTCCAGCTCAGTGTACCACTTGCACACGGAAAGCAAATCTTAACACTGCTTAAGGGCGATAATATTTTCATAAACCCAATTACTTGGACCCAGCTGGCAAGCAGCAGTTGAACACTCTACAGGGACCTCTTCCCCAACCCAGACAACTCAGTTAAAAGTCAGCCCACGTGGATGTAAACCTGAAAGTTACTGTTTCATTGGTGATCACGTAAGACCAAGATTGTAAACACGTTTTCCAATCTATAAAAAAATCATTTCATCAAGTATTACACATCAACATCTTAAGTTCATATGAGTCTGTAAAAACTGAGCCAAACTCTTTAGAGATATTATATCACAGCACTTTAAATATACAGATGTATAATCTACCTATTTGTAAACAAAACTCACGTAATAGTTTTGACTATATTTCTCTAGCTGAATCATACAAGCAGTCTTGTGAGCATGTTCAGGAATCAAGTTTCTTTCATAACTTCAATAAATTGGATTTGTGTAATCTTAATATCCACCAAGTCAAACAGCAGCATCTGTTTTCATAGATGTAATATCCCAGAATAAATATTTCTTATGAGTGGCTTCCAATTTAATTATTGAACTCCTTAGAAAATGTCACTGATGCATTTGAGATATTTGTAACCTATTCTATTCCTCTGCATTACACCAAAATAATACTTTTATTACATATCACAGAGCAGAAATGTACCCAACAAAAACCCACTTACAGGATCAAGGTGACTACTGTCTCTTCTCCCTACTGTCATTGCCAGTCCCGATGTATTTATGAAGGCAGCTCAAATTCTTTTCATTGCAGAAAAAAACAGTATGTTCAAGTCTTCTGCCGATCAGAAAACCACCTAATTATAGCTTTCCCTTAGAATCGTGACTTTGTTCTTCATGTGTAGCGAATACTGACAGAATGTAAAGCTTCAACACATTACTTCATATTCTCAAGCTCACCTAGAGTTATTTTCCTCTAGTTTTAGCTAACACCCTTTTCCTTCCTCAAAAAAGGAACAAAAACAAAAAAACCAATCACCAGAAATCCTATACTTTACTTTTAAATTTTATGATTTTATTTTTTAATTTTATGATTTTAAAAGATCATCATCAATGGATCTATAACTTCCCTGCAATACTTAATCTTATGAGGTTTTAAATGTAGCAGCCAAAACTTCAGAAAAATAAAAAATGAGAAATATACATGTGGAACACAGAAGTTTTTATTTTACAAAATGTACTTTGCCTCTGCAATATTGTCTTATTTTCATCCTTAACAACTCAAACATAATTGGCAGCAAAGGAAAAAAGGTATCCAATCATATGTAGATATAGTTTGATTTGAAAAATAGTGTTTTGGAATTGCACGTTTGATTCACTGCTGTGGTCCTTTATTTGCTGTAGTTTGATGAAATCACAGTGAAAACATCTTAATCATCACATTAGTTCACAAACTTAAATAGAAAAGGAAGGTATCACACATTCCCAGGAATTCTGCATTATTATGATTTCCTTAGCAGTAACTAAGTCAAGTTTCTTCATTTATTCACTTGCTGTTGTATATGCAAGAGGAATTCATAATATGACAGTGCTGATTCTGTTCTGTCTTCTACCATGTTCTGAAGGAAGCTTGCTTTCATTGGACTCTCATCCCTTAGGAATAAAAAACAAAAATATTTATGTATGTTAGATAAAATGTAATAGTAAAATAAACAGTGGATTGGCAAAGGTTTTCATAACTATCATAATATTTACCCCACAAATACTTACCTCTTGAGGCTTTATCTAAGATTATTTGGTTGGTTATGTAAACTTCATGTTTAAGGGGAAAAGTTTATAATGGAATTAGAAGGAACAGTGAAGTGTTTTACTGAGTTCATTAAGTTTAGTAAATCCAATAATTGGTTATAAAGCACAATTTACTATGGAAGAGGGACAGTCCTAGAGACTGATTCCATAACCTTTGCACTGAGCTATCTCCTCAGCCCCTTTTAATTCTTTATTTTGAGAGAGGGTCTTGTTAAATCAGTAAGTTACCCAGGCTGGTATCAAATCTGTGCTCTTCCAGCCTCAGCTTCCCAGAGTGCTGGGATTACAGGGATGTGCCTCCACCTGACTTGACTTAGTACTATTTACTGAAAAGAATTACTAGACAAGGATGAGGCTGATGGTGACAATTTCACAGTGCTGGGGATCGAACTCACGGCTTTGCCCATGCTAAGGAAAGGCTCTACCACTGAACTCCATCCCCTTCCCTTTTATATTCTTATAAAATGTTTGTGTAGGTCACATATAACTGTGATTTAAAAGAGGTCCCAAAAAAATAAAAAATAAAAAAATAAAAGAGGTCCCTGCAAGACCAAACACATTATTTTACAAATGAAAACTTCAACTTACCTTATTATATAAAGTACTGGGAAAAATGGTCTCTGCTCTCTAAGCCAAGAGATGAAAGCTATCATCCTAGCAGATTCTGGTGTATCAAGCTCTGGAAGGTCTGTCTGTTAAACAAAACCAGTATCTAATTTAATTATTTACCTAACAGAGAGTCCACACTACTTCTTGAATTTTAACATGTTTATGAATCACCTGGTGATTCTGTTGGATGAGAGAGTAGATTAGTTTGGCTTAGAGGTCACTAGGTCTCTATTGAAACTATTCCAATCCACTGAGGTCACATAAAGCACCCATAGACAATACATAAAATTATCTAAAATGCTATTCATCCTAGTGGTTTTACTCAGGGCTAGGGCTTCTCCTAGCTAGAATGGTGACCTGTCTTTTTCAATCCATGAATTCCCTCATTTCCATGAATGCAGTCATAGAAGTCACCACTAAGCAAAAGTGATAAAACATATTCCCAAGCTGGATACAAACTGGCAGAAGGGATTTAAAAGACACTAAATAAAACTGTCTATTATTAATTTAAAACTCAAAACTACCCAAGTGCTACATTATTTTATAAGTGATTTCTCATGGAATACTACAGTTATTCCACCACAAGTAAGAGCAGTGTTATTTTACATATTTAACTATTAGTGACTTGTCCAAGGTCACGCAGCAGGGACAAAGGTCCATCATTTCTTTCTTCAATCGACACTGACTGTTGTTTTCTAGGTAAACTGGTGTGGCAATTAATTTAGTTCTTATGGGGGCTGGGGATTTAGCTCAGCTGCAAAAGCACCTGCCTGGCAAGCGGAAGGTCGTGAGTTCAGTACCCGGTACCGGAGAAAAACCAAAAAAAAAAAAAAAAAAATGAGTTCAGTACCCGGTACCGGAGAAAAACCAAAAAAAAAAAAAAAAAAATTTAGTTCTTACTCTAAAGAAATAGTTTAAGGACTCTGCCAAAGAACAAGCAATCCCTTGCAATACGCGCGCGAGTGCGCTCTCGCTCTCTCGCTCTCTCTCTCTCTCTCTCTCGCAGAGTCACAACACTAATGCCATCTGTAGTAAACGTGGCTTTTTTGGCAGGGGTTATTAATTAAATTCACTGTTTTCTCCACACAGTGCAGTACTGTCTTCTCTGTGTGTATGTGCGGTACTGGGGACTGACAGCAAGGTGCTCTACCACTGAGCCACATCCCCACCCCCTTTCACTGCTGGAGATCTGAACTCAAGGCTACACTCCACCACAGACCCACACCGCTAGTCTTCCTTTATTTACTTTTTATACTTTTTAAATTCTCAGAAAGTCTTAGTTTAGCCCAGGCTGACTTCAAAGTTGTAGTCCTCCTGTCTCAACCTCTAGCGCAACTGGGATTACAGTCACGCACTCCCCTCTTTAAGCACACATGAGCAGACGAGTCAACCATGCACATTAACATGAGCTCCATTAAAACGTGAAGCACTGTAAGCCGGCACGGTAGTATACCCTCGAGCCTCAGCTCCCTGAGAGGGTGCGACAGGATGATGGCTTTGAGCCCAGGAGCTTGAGACCTGACCAGTCAACACAGGGAGACCCAACCTCAAACACACACACACAGATACAAATTAAAAATCATAAACACAGGATGTTTGATGAGAAAAGAAATTTAACCCATAGGAACATTTTTTTCTTTTAGAAATTCTGTAGTATTAATTTCTGATTTCAAACTGGAACATTTATGTTTTTGCCACCTCTGGAATGTCTTTTAAGTCTTCTACAATCAGTGAAAGAGTCTTACCCCAATCTGTGGAATTGATGCATAGTTTTGAACTCCTAGAACTTGGCTGAGAAAATGTTGTGCACAATTTTTTCCAACCCAAAGCATCAGTACCTGCAAATAAAAATAAAATTATTTGAGAGGAAGCCAAAAGTCTGCTGACTCACCTTTGCCACTATGTTTTTGGTTTGTTTGTTTGGTCTTTTTGAGACAGGGTTTCACTGTGCAGTTCAGGCCGCCCTGGAACTCACTTTGTCGCCCAGGCTGGCCTTGATCTCCCAGCAATCCTCCTGCTTCAGCCTCCCAAGTGCTGGGATTACTGGCATGCATCACCACGCCTGGCTGCCATTGAGTATGTTAACAGATTAAAAGAATGAGTGTATTTGTGAGACTGGACAGCTTGTGACTAAACTAATAACAATCAGCATTTATGCTGGTGAGATGTACGCATGGCATGACAAGAAGGCCAGAAAGGGAGCAAATGGCGACTCACATATAGGTTAGAGTCTGTCATCTCTTCAAGAAGACAGATACTAGGGCTGGGGATATAGCTCAGCAGTATAAGCGCTTGCCTGGCAAAGCGCAAGGTCCTGAATTTGATTCCTGGTACCCATTTTAAAAAAAAAAAGAAGAAGACATACTAAAGGAAATGAAGGTCAGTGCTAGAGATGCAGGATTACAGTGAGGAAGGCCAGGATACCCCAACTACTCACAGAGCCTCCATCCATGAGGAAAGCACCGTCCCTGCTCAAATTCTCCACTGAGAGCTGAAGGATAGGAGGCTGAGGTATGGTTCTATCGTTGATGTTGAGTGCTCCCTAAGAAGGTTAAGCAAAAGGTTGAAGCTTTTAGATACAGGTAACAGAGGGTCACAATTCAACAACAACAACAACAAAAATCAAATGAATGCTACCTCCAAGAGTTTAGGCCTTACTTATTAGACAAATCAGTTATTTATAACTAACTATTAAAAAGACAAATATTTACCACTTATCTGAACAAAGTCACTGAATCTCAAGGAAGCCAAATTCACTTCTGGTCTCAAATATACATTTTTTTTACCCTTTTTAAAAATTTTCTGTGTGTGTGACAGGGTCTCACTATGCAGTTTAGGCTGGACTTGAGATCACTAAGTAGCCCAGGCTGCCCTTGAACTCATAGTGATCCTCCTGTCTCAGTCTTCCCAATGCTGGGATCAAGGGGCATGCCAGCACACCCAGCCCTATGTAAGTGTGTTTTAACTGGACCATGATTTCAGAAAGATTACCAAAGTATTATTTCATATATGTGCGTGTATGTGTGCATATCTTGACAATTTTAGAAAGATTATGATTTAATGTTTTCATGCTTATAACCTTAATGTTGATAAATTTCATATAAAAAGCAAAGAAAACATAACTTAGATAAATATTTTCTTAACTCAAGGACACTATTACACTGAACACTGACCTTGGGAGTTCAGACATAATTCCACTCTTCAAATATTCCTTTCCAACCAATTTGTTTAAATAAACAAACAGTAGGTTGTTCTTTAACCTGACAACCTCCCCACTTCTAAGATCTGCTCTACAGATCTGTCTTAGGGACCTCAAATAAAGGCACTATTTTCAGGAGCATCTTTTTAAAAATTTTTTTAGTCTTTTTGAGACAGGGTCCGCTATGCAGTTCAGGCTGGCCTTGAGCTCCCTTTGTAGCCCAGACTGGTCTCGAACTCGCAATGATCCTCCTGCCTCAGGAGCATCCTTAAACCAAAATTTCTTTACATAAGTCTAGCAAAGAATAACACATAAAGCTTTAAACAGCAAGTCTTTCCCAATTTTTACACTGGACTGAAATGGTTAAGCTTATTATACCTTCAAGAAAAAAGCCACTAAAAAAGGAAAGGCATCACTTACTGTTTGTTAATTTAAAAGATAAAACAAAAAGTGTTTTTTAAAAAAGGAACCAATCTCACCTCATCTGACAGATTGTCGACTCTATACAAATTGGGATGTGTTGTGAGCATAAGGTGCACCAAGGGCTGATTTTTCACTTGACACATAGCAAAAATGCGTTCATCTAGACGTGCATTTGTTCCAGTCTGGAATGATTTCTGTAACAAAAACAAACCCCAACACACCCCAAAAAAGACATTTAAGAAATATTGAACTTTGTAAATTGTTAAAAGAGTCAGCTGTTAAAAGAGTATCATTAGAAGAACTAGGAAACTGACTACAAATTATACTTTAAAAAAATCTTTTCAGAAGTCATACACATGTATTAAGTTGTGACTGAACCTAAAACTCTCGAGGAATGAACTGATGGCGGCAGTTATTTGACCTCCCTGGTGTGTTTCCTAATCAGTAAAATAGCACTAAACACTCTGTACCATAGCAACAGTAGAGTAACTATCAGGCCACACCATGGGAAGGATGATATCAGACTGCAGATGACATTATGGGGGACTGAAAAGATACCCACCAAGTATTCTATAAAGCTGGGCAATAACTAACAGTGACTGTTACTGCTTCTTCCATAGTTAATTGTACAATGTGCCAAAGCTTACGAGTCAATGATAAAACATAATACAAATAAGGATGGCTATTTAGTAGAGCACTAATAAGTAAAAGTGAGATTTAACCTATAACCTATATATTGGCTTCATGAAAGTAATAGTTTTGGGCTAAGGTTTTAAGTATTTAAATTGATGAAAAAATGGACATGGTGGTACAGGCTTGTAAATCTCAGCACTCGGGAGGCTGAGGCAGGAGGATCACCAAAAGTTCAAGAACAGCCTGAACTACATAGCAAGACCCTGTCTCAAAACACACACATTAAAAGAAAAGAAGAAAAAAACAATGTGTGTCATTCCAAGGTTATACCGGTAGGGTTGGTAGGTGTGCCTGGGTCACACAGTAGGGCTGGTGGCCCAAAATAAGAGTGCTGAATTTTTGCTGCACACCCTTAAAAATGCAGATAGTAATGCTGAACTTAATTTAGACTTTCTGGTCATTGGCCATAGCCAGGCGAACGGCACTCGAGATTCCCACTGCACCTAGAGAGCTCATGGTCAGATTAACTCATCCATGAGCTTTGTAAGCGAGCTCGCTGGCGCCTGAGATGACCCTTACTGGAAAGGGACAGGCTGCTCCTAAATGAGAGCAAGAGGCCGCACAAAGAAAACGTCAAAGGAAGGGCAGCTAACCCGGCCTAGAGGATCCTCACTGAAGACAGGCGGGAGAGACACCACCTGGAGGACGGCAGGAGAGAGGAGCGTGACCAGACATCCCAGGGTGATCGGAGGCTGAGGGCGGAGCCCCTTGCGGACCTGGTTGAACTGAGTTTCTGCTCACAGCACATTTTACAAGGAATTGCACAGAGACCTAGAAGAGGCTTAGGAGCCTGAAGTTCAGTCCAGCAAAGACTCTAACCATGGGATGGGATGTGTGATACTTTCACTGTGCTAGTCTCTGTCTCTGCTTCTGTTTTTCTTACCTGCTTAAGAAGAGCCAACACAAAAAGTGGGAAAAGTCTCAAAGAGAAAGGAACCATGAGTCCTGGCTGCTGGTTACTGAGGACTGAGGAACGGTAAGCTGCGAGAGAGTCGATGACGGCGTTCACCAGAGCGTCCCGGGCGTCACTCAGGCTGGCAGTCACGGACCGGTCCACCGCTTAGTGAGGGAGGACAGGGACAAAAGAGAAGCAGAAGTTTAGATGCTCCACTGGTAAGGAAGAAGAGAGGATTTAAAAACTGTTACGGTAGTAGCAGCATAGCTGTTCTGAAGACGCCTCAACCCCCAACTAAACTCAATCCATATGGCATCAAAACACCTTCAATTAAACCTATAAATACTGTCAGATATTACTGTCAATAATGATGATAATGTTCACAGCTGGTATCAAAAAATATGATTTGAAAAAAAAAAAATAAAAGCAATGGCTCTCAAATTTCTTAGGTCACCATGCTCAGGTTTTAACAATTTAGAACAATAAAGGGAGGATAGTTCCTCTTCTGGGCTCCATGAAAGACAATTTCAGACACTGTGTAAATATTCCTGCTCTAGACAGATCAGAGTTTGAAGCAAACGGACTCTGAGTCTTTCCTGGAGGAAAAAGGCAGTAAGAGTCAAACTGATGTTAAACTATGAATTTGAAAAAACAACTGAAACAACCAAAATGAAGTTGGCAACAGCAAAGCTGTACTGGAAGTTTTTCTGTGACCGCCCCCAGCATGGACCAGGCTGCAAACATACATGTGATGGTGAACTGGCTTTTGTTCTCAAATGCCATGGCTCTAGGTCTCATCATTTTATAATACCTGATGTTTCTTGTTGTCTGTGATACAGAACTTGTTAAAAAAAAAACCTGTATCAGCTATAGTGACGCAGGCCTGTAACCCTAGCACTCGTATGAGCACTGGGCAACTTAGTGAGACCCTGTCTCAAAATAAAAATAAAAATAAAAATAAAAATGCGCTGGGGCCAGGCGTGGTGGTGCACGCCTGTAATGCCACCACTCGGAAGGCTGAGGCAGGAGGAACGCTGCAAGTTTAAGACCAGTCTGGGCTACAAAGTGAGCTCAAGGCCAGCCTGAACTGCATAGCAAGACCCTGTCTCAAAAAGCACCCCCCCCCAAAAAAGCGCTGGGGATATAACTTAGTGCAAAGGCCCTAGATTCAATCCCCAGTACTAAGACACACACACACACACACACACACACACACACACACACACACACGGCACTAAAATTACATGGTGGTAATGGCTGGACAGACAACCATGGAACTGTACATGTAGAAAGGGTGAAATATATTACATAGCTAAATCTCAATACAGCTTTTTAATATGGGGGGATGCACAGCTAATAACCCTGTTTAAACAAACACAAAAGGTAAGATTATTTGCAAAGCTTTCCACTGAAATAGTTACAAGCACACAAACACTGAAAAAATGTAAAGCTGATTACTTAAAGAAAACAAAATTATGAGAATTCTCCTAATGGTATTACTTGCAAAATATTTACAAGTGAAAACAACTCTTACCCATATTGGCCAATAACCCTGAAATTGCTTGAACATCCGCTCCAAGAAAGACTTCATTCAGAGTTGCAACCACTGGCAAACACAAAGTATGGACCCGAATTCTTCTTTCACCTTTGGGAAAAACACATGATAGTAAGAAACAGTAACATACTAAGAAAAGAAAAACAAAACAAAACAAAAAACTTCCTTTCTGGTGCTGGGACTGAAACCAAGCAAGGTAACACGACAGACTTTAAAAAACTCATAGCAAAAACAGAACAAAAACAAACAAACAAAAAAACTGAACACTACAACAGCGAAAGAAACAGAGCAACTAGAAATTTTTTACCCCCTAGTACTGGGGATTGAGCCAAACACCTTCACGCTGAACTACAGCCACAGCTCTTTTTATTTTTTATTTTGAGACAGGGTCCTAAGTCAGTAATTGCCCAGGCTGGGTTTGAACTTGTGATCCTTCTGCTTAGGCTTCCAAAGTGCTGAAAGTAGTGTGTGCCACCTGCCTGGCTTGAACCCGCACAATGCTCATGGGAATGCAAGATGTTACCAACATTTTGAAAAACAGTCTGGCAAGTGGTTGTAAAGGCAAACATATCACACAACTCAGCAGCTCCACTCCTCGACAGGTAAAACATAAGGACAAATTTCAAGTCTATTATGCTAAGTGGAATAAGCCAAATTCAAAACACTATATACCCTACAACTTCAACATCTATAATCTGAAAATCCAAACTGTTCCAAAACCTGTACTTTTTTGAATACTGATATGATGACACAGGTGGATAATTTTGCATTTACATCATGTGATGAGTGACAATCAAAGCAAAGGCACACTAAACATACTGTGTAAAATCACCAAAAAAAATAGTAACAATAATAATAATAATAATAATAATAATAATAATAACCCTTAGGTGGACTAGGGATGTGACCTTGCATGGGCAGGCCCTGGGTTCAATCCCCAGCACTATGAAAAGGAAAGTCTAAGAAAAAATAATAATAACCTTTAGAAGGTATATATAAAACATACATAAATTCTGTTTTCAGACTTGGATCCTTTCTCCAAGATATCTCATTATGAATATGCAAATACTGCCGGGCATGGTAGCGCACGCCTGTAATCCCAGCACTCGGGAGGCTGAGGCAGGAGGATCGTTGCGAGATCAAGGCCAGCCTGGGCTACAAAGTGAGCTCAAGGTCAGCCTGAACTGCATAGCGAGACCCTGTCTCAAAAAAAAAAAAAAAAAAAAAAAAAAAAAAGAGAATATGCAAATACTCTTAAAAATTGAAAGAAATTCCAAATCCAAAGTCCCAAACATTTCAGATAAAGTATAATCAACTTTTACATCATTCCATTTCTATGACAGTCCCACAATGCAAAATTATAGGGTCAAAAAACAGATCGGGGCACTGGGGATTTAGCTCAGCGGCACAGCGCCTGCCTGGCAAGCACAAGGTTGTGAGTTCGACTCCCAGTACGGAAAAAAAAAAAAAAGAAACAAAACAGATCAGTACCCAGCCAGGATACCCAGGATATCAGTACCCAGCCTGAATTCCCAGGCAGGAGGATCACAAGTCTAAGCTCAACCTGGGCAGCCTAGTGACTCAGTGAGACTCTGCCACAAAAATAAAAAAGGGCCAGGGGTGCAGTTCAGTGCAAAGGCCCTGGGTTTGATCTCCAGTACATTGAAAAAAGAAAAAGAAAAGGAAAAAAAGAAAAAGGAAAGAAAAAGAACAGAAAAGAGGAAATGGAGAGGAGAAGAGAGGGGAGGGGAGGGGAAAGGAGGAGAGGAAGAAGAGGAAGAGGAAGAGGAACAGGAAGAGGATGAGGACGAGGAAGGGAAAAGAAAAGAAAAGGAAAAAAGAAAAAAGAAAAGAAAAGAAAAGAAAAGAAAAACAAAGAAAAGAAAAGAAAAAAGAAAAGGAAAAAAAAGTCAGTGGTCACCTGTGGCTCAGAATGGGACAGGCTTACTACAAAAAACGAATGCAAATGTTCGGGTGATGACACTGATTGTGATGTCTTGACTATGGTGACAGTTAAATGACACATTTGTCAAAACTTGTGGAATTTTACATTAAAAATGGTGCGTTCGGTTAGGTATACACCACAGGGGTAGAGTATGTACTTGGCATATATAAGGCCTGGATCTGACCATAGCATCACAAAAAAAAAATTATGCACACTGATTACAAATTGTTTAAATGTTAGTAAGAATAAAACTGTGTCTAGAAATAGAAATCATCTTTTACATATTAAAGAAAAGAAAGCATATTAAAGCATGCTGTATTAATTAAAATCATACAAAAGCAGAATTTTCCCGATATTAAAGGCTTTTATCAAAATGCCTATTTTTGATTTTGGACAGGTTGAACAGACACAGCACAGAAACACTCCCAAAAGTTTTCTCCCTTTCTAGTGCTAAGGAACGAACCCAGGGCCTCATACACTCTAGGAATCAAGTAAAAAAAATACTTTTTCGTACTAGGGACTGAATTTAGGGGCTCACAGGTGCTAGGCAAGTGCTCCATAAGTAGGCTCCACTCCAACCTTCCTATTTTGAGACAGGAGCTCATAAACTTCCCAGGTTGGATTTGAATTTGTAATCCTCCTGCCTCATCCTCCCAAGTAGATGGGAGTATTACGTAATAGGTGTAGAGACATGCACCTCTACATCTGCCTGGCCAAAACAGTTTTCAAAGGCAGTGAAACAGACCTAGAGGGTAGGAGTGGTAAATCTTTACAATAAAAAAGCAAATTTAACGTGCCTTTATATTATCCTAGGGTAATAAATTATACAAAGATTAGGAACAAATTGCATCCTTAAAGGGTGTTACCTATCTTCCAGCATGAGCTCCTTCCAAACTCACGTGTCCTCCCTGTGAGGGTGGGGGCCGCTGGCCGCTCTGTCTTAGAGGAACAACCCTGAGTACTTCCTGTTGTTGCAGATGCTTCATCACTCTCCTACACTAGCATCACTACATGCATACTACTGTTTCACTTATTTATTCTCTTTACTATCTGACTTGCCTACCTGAACCAAATTCTACAAAGAAAGGGATTTTTTTTAACTGCTGTTACCAGAGTTAATGACATCTGATGTGTATCAGACATTGAATAAATCAAATGGTTTAGGAAAACAAGGGCAGTGATCTCTACCAACATAAGCTCTTCTGATTAGGAATACTTTTTCATTTATCAGAAATCAGTACTTACCTCCAACGAAGAGCTTACCATAGCCATGAAATATAATACTACAATACTGTTTACTATAACATTGTGATTACTATGTTGTATGCTTAAAAATGTAAGAAGGTAGATCTTATCTTCCATTTTTTATACAATAAAAACTTACCTTTGCTTGATGTATACAAGAGTGCTGACTGAAAAGAAACCAACTGAGTATCAGTGAGACTCTCTTCCACTGACATCTGTACTGCATACCCAGCATCTGGGTTGACGTTGGGCAGAGATAATAAGTCTGTTGACCGAACAAAGAAATTCCCATGGAAAGTATGAATGGAAAGACCTAAAAGAAAAAAAATGATCGAAGTGGTTTTTATGCACCTCCATATGGATATTCACATTCTGTCCTAGTCACTTATCCGACAGTAAAAAAGTTTAGATAATACACAGCAAAGTGGTTAGAGTAACCATAATGATGGAATGAAAATGTTTGTTGTGCCTACACACATACATGTATCTACCTTGAGTAATAATTTATTTTTTGGAAAAGCAACATATGCATATATTGCTTGTGAAATAAAAGCCAACTCTAAAACAGTAATGAGAAAGAAAAAGTGTGTAGGTCTGTATATGCAAAAAATAGTTCTCCAAGATGTAATTTTAAAAAAAATTTATTGGGGGGGGGATTGAAAGCAGGGTCAGGTAGGAGGTAAAATTTTTTTAAGCTGCACATTATGGTGCACACCTGTAATCCCAGCCCTTGGAAGGTTGAGGCATGAGAATTGCAACTTTAAGGCCAGTCTAGCTATAGCACAAAACCCCATCTCAAAAAAAAAAAAATTTCAAAGCCAGGTTCAGTGGCACATGCCTGTAATGCCAGCTATCTAGGAGGGTGAGGCAGGAGAATCACAAGTTTGAGGACAACCTGGGCAACTCAGTAAGAATCTGTCGCAAAATAAGAAATAAAAAAGCTGGGGATGTAACTCAGTGGTAAAGTCCTTGCCTAACTTGTGTCAGCCCCTAGCACTAAAAAAAATTTAAAATTAATTTTAAAAATTAAAAAGTAATTTTAAAAAGTAATTAAAAAACAAACATTGAAAAACTTTTAGAATAAATAAATGAATTCAGCAAGGCTGCATTATTATAGGAACAGATCAAAGAAAATGTCATTGGCACATGATGTGAGCAATAAATTTCAAAATACAACATATTACTGGGTCTTTATCTTTTTTCTCCTACATATTCCATAAAACTTCTCCACCTGAAACAATGATTGCCTCACACACACACCCCACCCCCGACACATAGAGTAGCAATATTGCCATTCATAAAATAAAGCGCACAGGGCTGGGTATGTAGCGCAATGGCAGATCATTTGCCCAGGAGGTGTAAAGACCAAATCATTGGGTTCAATCCCCAGCACTACCCCCCAAATCTACAAATTGATAATGTGGAGAAATGAAAAACCAAGAATGAAAATACAGATTAAAAGATCTCCCAGTCTCCAACTCTGGAGATGAATAGTGTTAGTGGTTGTAAAACAATGAAAATGTATTCAATACCACTGAACTGTACAAATAAAATGTGAAGGGGTTAAGGATGCAAGCTCAGGGATACTGTTTTGCCTAGCACGTGTCAGGTCCTGGGTTTGATCCCTAGCACTTTAATAAAAAAAAAAAAAATTGTTTAAAAGTAGATTAAAATGGTAATTTAAAAAAAAAAAAAAATTTTAGACAGGGTCTTCACTATGTAGTTTAGACTAATCTCAAATTCCCAGCAATCAGCTGGGTGTGGTGGCACAGGCCTGCAATCCCAACACTTGTGAGGCAGGAGGATCTCTGCAAGTTTGAGACCAGCCTGGTCTACAAAGTGAGCTCAAGGCCAGACTAAACTGCATAGTGAGACAAAAAGAAAAAAAAGACAAAAAAAAAAAAAAAATTCCCAGCAATCCTCCTGCGTTAGACTCCAGAGTGCTGAGATTACAGGCATGTATCACCAGCACTCAGGACGCTGAGGCGGTAGGATTGCCATGAGTTTAAGGTCAGCCTGGGCTATACAGTGAGTTCAGGACCAGCCTGAACTACATAGTACAACCCTGTCTCAAAAAACCAAATCGGGGGCTGGGGATTTAGCTCAGCGGCAAAGCGCCTGCCTGGCAAGCCCAAGGTTGTGAGTTCGGTTCCCGGTACCGGAGAAAAACCAAAAAAAAAAACCAAATCAGGGCCAGGGATGTAGCTCAGTGGTGCAGCGCCTGCCTAGCAAAGGTGAGACCCTGAGTTCAATTCCTGGTACAAAAACAAAAAGAAAAAGAAGACCAAAAAAAAAAAGTCAAATCAATCAATCCATCAAATAATTGTTCCATTAAAATAATAAAGTCAGGTGTGGTGGTATGTACCTATAGTCCCAGCTACTTGTAAGGCTGAGGGGAGTACAAGACAGTTTGGGATGCGTAATAAGACCTCATCTCAAGGGAAAACAAAAAAGATCTACTCCTCAATAAGTAGAGTACAAATCCATTGGTAACAGTTTTATTCTTGTTGAGAATATGGTCTTTATTTAAAAAAAATAAGATAATTCACATACCATAAACTGTACACTGCAGTGTACAGTTTAGTCATTTTTAATATATTCCTAATAGTCCCCATTTTGTTTTGTTTTTTCTCTTTTTGAGATAGTGTCTCACTATGCAGTTCAGACTGGCCTCAAACTCAACAATGATCCTCCTGCCTCAGCCTCCCAAGTACTGGGATTACAGGCGTGCACCACCATGCCTAGCTAGTCCCTGTTTTTTAAGTGTTTCTTCTCTCTTAATTACCTCTTTATAATGATATATTCTAGAGTCAGCAAAGTATCTTTAAAAAGCAACCTTTAGAAGATGAGACTAGGTGAAAAGAGGTACATTTACTGGTATGAAAAACAATATTATCCTATGTTCAAAGCAAAGGGCTCCCCACCTTTGGTACACCGAATCCTCATGACGGCCTCAAAGCCAATCTTCCGAGTGAGGTACCTCTGCAGCTCCTTCTGCAGCTTCTGCACCTGGACGGGGTTGTGCTGATGATGGTAAGATGGATAGTAGTAGACACTGCCTGCTGAGTACCGAGAAATACATCCTGGAAGAAAACACACACTCCTTTATGCCAGATTCCAAATTCTCTTCAAACTGCAGTAATCTTTCACTTTTTATGATGCCAAAGTAACTGCCAAGAATTTGACTCAAGGATTTGCCTAACTTCTTCAAGATACTGTTGAAAGAATATTCCATTCCTTTAAATTTTACAGAAATCTATTTCTCTTCTAAATTAGAGAATACTATGAGGTTTACAATAGATTAAAGTGAGTAAGGGCTGGGGACACGGCTCGGTTGGCAAAGTTCTTGTCTGCTATGCACAAGGCCCTGGCTTCAATCCTCAGCACTGCTAACAGAACAAAACAAAACCTGACCACTCAGCTGGGCACGGTAGCACGTGCCTGCAGTTGCAGCTGTTTGGGAGGCTGAGGTGTGACAACCACTTAGACCAGCCTGGGCAACAGAGCAATACCCAAGTTTAATATAGAAGTCGTTTTAAAATGACTGATTCACGCTCCCAAGGAAATAAAAATTCTTTCACTTTGTCCTTTACTTATGATACCATCATGTAAGTATCATTTTGGTATTTTTTTTAAAGTCATTAGGAAGTACTTACCTAGTGAAGCCAAATCAGAATACTGTCCACTGAGAAGAAATAAGTCAACAGCTACCTGCTGACCAGAACAGTCCAAGGCTAATTTCTTATAGAAGTCAGTGGACGGTGTCAGGTGTATTTCCTATTAATGATAAAGTACAAAGGGGAATTTTTAAAATTCATTACATTATCGTAAAATATAAATACACATCTACATATACCAAGGTGTTAATAACAGTTATCTCTGGACATTCTACACAAAGCTTTTGCTCTGTTTACAATTTGATTTTTCATTAAGAAACCTGTACTACTTAAGAATTTTTTGAAACATTTAGGGGTGGGGATATATAGCTCAGTGGTAGAACACTCAAGAACACAGCCCTGTGTTCAATACCTAGCACTGCAAGAGAGACAGATTGGGGGAGGGAGAGGGAGAGAGAGAGACAGAGAGAGAGAGAGAGAGAAAGAGAGAGGGACAGAGGGACAGAGGGAGAGCCCCACCCCTGTAAACCCACCACTCTGGGAGATTAAAGCAGGAGAATCAAAAACTCCAACCCAGCCCACGCAACTTAGGAAGACCCTGTCTCAAAAAAATGTTTACAAACAGCTGGGGATATAGCTCAGTGTAAAGGCCCTGTGTTCAATCCCCAGTATCTACAGGGGAAAAAGGAAAAAGAGAATAGAAGAATTTTATATGAGGTTTTTTCTTTGTTGTTATTGTTCTGTTACACGGAAGAAATACTTGTATTGTACTAATATTGTAATAGGCAACAATAAGTATAACTAAAATGCTCGGTATGCTAAGCAATTCACATGTAATACGAAGTATCTGTTTAGTCCTTTCAACTACCCTAAGAGGTAAGAACTACCATTATTTTTACTTTACACCAACAGAAACAAAGTAACTATTTAAGATCACACATCTAATAAGCAGCAGCACTTAGGCAGCTGATTACATGAGCGATATAACCAGTACAGTATATTAGCTTCTCACTCACTTTTGGGAAATACAGGTCTCAAACTCTCTAAGTTTACACACACAAGGTACTCAGAAGGAAACTGTGGCTGTCAATATAGCAAATTATGACAACTGCTAGCTGATCAGGGTCCACTCTGTCCTTCGCAAAACATATTCTCTTAGACTCCTAGAGCTTCTCATCAAAGCCAGTCTGGATTGCTAGTGGCCTGCTAGAGACAGAGTGAATCACGTAGAGAAAAATGTAATAAAATAGGTATGTCTACATGGAAGTGAAACATTGAGACTTGGGGATGCAGCTCAGTGATGGAGCACTTGCCTAGTATGCACGTACTGGGTTCCATCCCAGCACTGCAAAAAACAAAAGAATGCAATTCTTTACTTAGTTCCCTATATCCCCTCTTGCCCACAATTGAAAAATAAATGTTATAAAAACAAGCTCTGAGGTCAAAGGGACAGAAAGCACCAGCGTAAATCCTATCGTACACTCGACAGCTTTCTAACCTTAGCAGATGACCTTTGGTTGGGCTCCTCTCGTGGTTTCAGGGCTCCCACTCCGAGAGTTGGGAGCTGTGTTTGAAAGACAGACATTCGACCACCAGTTGGGGACATCAGCTTAAAGGCAGCCTGAAGTGCAGGACCCAAGGCACTCTGGGTCTCCAGAGACTTGGTAAACATCTGCGGCAAAGTTTTCAGTAAACCTTGGACAAGCTTGTGAAATAAAGCAAGAAAACCCAACAGTGTTACAATGGAATTTTCCTCCACAATAAGCCAGTATCTAATACAGTAGACAAGACACTGAGTTGTGATGATGGTCAGAGAATCTACAGACACTACAGTCAACAATGAAGTTGGCCAAATGACAAGAAAGCCATTATATAAGTCAACAATATAAACTGGCAAGCAAGACATCAAAATTGGGGCCTTATAGTTCTTGTACATGCAGCAGTCCAGCAAGACTATAAGTCCAAAATTTATCCAAAAGAACTATCACAGTTTAGAGATTTGATATATTTAATGGTATGAAATATGGCTTTCTCTATCACCTCTACATGCTTTATTCGGTTAACTTTCAAAATGAGTTTAACTCTTCCCAGTTGCAAAATCTAAGGTATCCAGTAACTTTGCCAACCAATAGTGTCACCACGAAAGAAAAACAAAATCAAAACCAACTACCTATTCAGGTTAGGTTGTACAAATGAAGAGAATTAATGGGGAAGAAATACTTCACACTACGGCACAGTGACCGATGCCAACAGCAGAGACCACAGACTTGCTAGTTAAAATGTTCCCCTACAGCATATATGCATGTACAGGGTAGACAACATCCCCCCTCAGACACATTCTGTTCACCTCTCACTGTATTATGGCATGGCAATTTCCAGGCAGGTAATAAGAGTTTCTTCTGAACTGACCCCCATGACAGACACTCTGTGAATCAGAAAAGCAAAGGGCACTGAGAGCAGCCCAGCTAATGTGCGTCTCTGGGTGGTGACCAGAAGCTTTATCTCAGCGACCCTCCCAACTTCCCAGACGCGGGCAAGACAGCTTTCTTCCTGGAGTTCCTCTTTCTGAACAGCCTTATCTTCTACCCTACTACAACTTGCTGCCTTAGACTTAAAAATGATTGCAACTTGAGAGCTATTCATTAAATAAATGAGCTTCAACTAAGAGCAAATATAAAACGCTACATATCTTAGAACTGTCAAAGAAAAAGCAAAATGTTACTTAACATTTATTTCAAAAGATGTTTTATAATATGGCAGGTATAAAATGTGCCTTACCTCTTTACTTTCATTTAAATTTACCAGTAAGTTTTCTGGCATAGGTATAAAAACATCTGAAAGAACAAGTGAATACTTATTTTAAACAAAGTACATGACACTGATGTGATTAAGCCCCACCCTTGAAAGGGAAGTTGCTCCTTCCCCTAGCACAGCACTGTGCACCATCTCCACACGTCCACAGAGCACTTGAGCGACAGGGATGCGGGGTCTCTGCTTCCTGCCTGCAGCCCTGGAGAACGTAAACAGCCTTCCCATCAGGAAGCAGAACTTGGCAGGTTTGTGCAAGTGCCCTGCTTCTTAAAAACAGCCACTTAGCATCTTGCTTTGCCTGCGTTTGGTGAGTCAGCCAAAGATGCGCTCTTGGCATTAAAAAAAATACAACTAACATGACGCACAAGAGCCATACATCTTGCCGGACATGGCACACGCCTGTGACCCTGCACTCAGGAAGCTGAGGCAGGAGGATCACTGAGAGTTCAGGACCAGCCTGATTTACATTATGAGACCTCGTCTCAAAAACAGAACAGAACAGAACAGAATGCTCTATCTTTATATAGAAGTAACACAGTTCACCAATACTTCTGTCATTCAATCCCCGATATTTTCTCATAAAGAAGGGCCACACAGGGGCTAGGGATGTAACTCAACTGGCAACGCACTTTCCTAGCACCTGCAGTGCCCTGAGTTTGGTTCCCAGCACCACAAAATAACAATACAAAAGGTCTTTAAGGGCTGGGGATTTAGCTCAGCGGCAAAAGCGCCTGCCTGGCAAACGCAAGGTCGTGAGTTCGGTTCCCGCTACCGGAGAAAAAAACCGGAAAAAAAAAAAAAAAAAAGGTCTTTAACAATGCCCCTATGCAGGACTACAAAATCAACATCAGAATGTATGCAAACGGACCGCTGTTGGGGAGCCACTCAGCATCCACATTTATTCTGAGTAAGAATTAAATTCCCTTCCTTAGATGGGAAGCAACAGGAAAGAAAACATTAGCAGGAGAGAATTATAAGGAAAACTATTTTCTATATTTCTATAATGATTTTGCTTACAAAATAAGGCTTATTATGAAGTTTATAAAACATCAATCATTTGAAATATTAAATGTTTAACTGTTGGGGCTGGGGATTTAGCTCAGCGGCAAAAGCACCTGCCTGGCAAGCACAAGGTCATGAGTTCAGTTCCCGGTACCGAAGAAAAACCAAAAAAAATAAAAAATTTAAAAAAAAATAAATGTTTAACTGTCATATAAAAAGTCTACCATCTACCCTTTAGAAATCTTTTTGTCTTTAAAATATTTATGAAAGCTTTATTAAGATATAACCAACATACCATAAAATTCACCCTGATAGAAAATATAGCTCTAGAGGACTGGGGATTTAGCTCAGTGGCACAGTGCCTGCCTGGCAAGCGCAAGGTCATGAGTTCAATTCCCGGTACCGGAAAAAAAAAAAGAAAATATAGTTCTGGAGCCAAGCATGGTGGAACATTCCTATAATCCCAGCACTCAGGAGGCTGAGGAAGGAGGATCGCTCTGAGTTTAAGCCCAGCATGGGTTACATAAGTGAGTTTAAGACCAGCCTGAACTTTATATACAGCGAGACCCTGTCTCAAAAAACCACCATAAATAAATGAAAGAAAAAAAAGAGTATAGTTCTGGGTTGGGATGTAACTAAGTGATAGTGCAATTGCCCAACATGTACAAGACCCTGGGTTTGATCCTCAGCACTGGGAGGAAAAAAAGTACATTTCAGTGATTTCATTATACATTCACAGTTATACAACCATGATCATTATCTAATTCCAGATCTGTATCATCTCAAAAAGAAACTCTGCAACCATTAACAGTTACTCCCAGCTTTTCCCCTCCCACCAGGTTCCTGGCAATTAATCTCCTTTCTGTTCCCATGGAATTACATATTCTGGACATTTCACATGAGGAGACACAAACTGTATGTGATCTTTTGTGATTATCTTTGTTCAGTGGCGCATTTTCAAGGTCATCTTCTTTTTTATTGCAGAATAACGTTCTACTATAGGCCTAGACCACATTTTGTTGTTCTCTTGAGCAGAATTGCTAGGTCATACGGTAACTCTGTTTAACTTTCTGAGGAACTAACGCACTGCTTCCCATTCCTCTTGTAGTGTGTGAGGGTTCCAGTTTCTCTATATCCCCACCAACACTAGTCATTATCCACCTCTTTAATTTTAGCTATCCTACTTGGTGTGTGGTGATATTTCATTGTGCTTTTCATTTTCAACTGTCTGATAACTCATGATATAATGCACTTACCAAACTGTTCACAGATTTTTTTTTGTGGAGGGTACTAGAGATTTAAACCCAGGGCCTTGCAGAAGCTAAGCATACCATTGAGCTACAGCCTCACTCCCAAGAATATTGAACATTGTGCACTGAATAGAGCAGTGTTGTTCAAATCTAATGTTGTGCTATTGTCTTTTCATTGTTATAATTCTTTAGGTAACCTAGGTATAAATCCCTTATCAGATATAATTTACAAATTTTTTTCCCCCAATTTGTGGGTTGTCTGATGGTATTCATTTTGTTGACGGTATTCATTAAAACATAAAACTTTGTTTTTGGAGACAGAGACTCACTGTATAATCAAGCCAGTTCTTTGATTTCAAAGAACTCCACTTTGTTTTTTCTTTTGCTGCCTGTGGATTTGATGTTATATCTAAGAAACTGCTGCCTAATCCAAAATTCACTCCTAGGTTTTCTTCTAACACTTTTATACTTTTAATCTCACACCTGGGTCTATGGCCCACTTTTTAATTTTATTATGATAAAATATGCACAATCTACAAAATTCACCTTTTTAACCATTTTTAAGTGTATAATTCCCTGGCATTTAGTATCATCGAAATGTTGTATAACCATCATCTATTTTCACATCTTTTTCATTATCCCATAGAAAAACCCTGTACCCAGTAAAGAGTAACTCCCTAATCCACCTCCCTCAATCCCTAGTAATCTCTATTGTATTTTCTATCACTATGAATTTGCTTAATCTAGACACCTCATGTAAGTGGAATTAAGACTATTTGTCCTTGTGTCTGCTTTATTTTGCTTAGCAAAATGTCTTCAAATTTCACCATGCTGTAACAGGTGTGAGAATTTCATTGCTTTTTAAACCTGGGCTGGGGATATAGCTCAGTGGCATAAGCACCTCCTGGCAAGCACAAGGTCCTGAGTTCAATCCCCGGTACGGCGGGGAGGGGGCGCGGGGGAAAGCTGAATACTATTCCATTACTATCTTTATACTACATTTTGCTTATTTGTTCAGCTACTGATGGCTGCTTGGGAGCACTTCCATTTCTCATCTATTCTAATTAATGCTGCTATGAATAATGTGTAATTGTCTGTCCGAATCCCTGCTTTCCATTATTTTGTGTGTATGATGAGAAATAGAAATGCTAAATCCTACGCTAATTTGACACAAACTTTGAAAACTGCCAGGCTGAGTTGGGAACGGTGGCGCACGCCTGTAATCCCAGCACTTGGAATGCTGAGGCAGGAGGATCCCTGCTAGTTTGAGGTCAGCCTGGGCTACATAGTGAATTCAAGGCCAGCCTGAACTACTTGGCAAGACCCTTTCTCAAAAAAACAAAAAAAAACAAAACTGCCAAGTTCATTTCCACAGCAGCTGTACCATTTTCCACCCCCTACCACCAAGGCACAAGGGTTACTCTGTTCTTACTTGTTCTTTTCCATGTTTGCTTTGTTAATATCAGCGCCCCCCCTCCAGCAGACATGAATGGTTACCTCAGGTGGGGTTTCGTTTGTTTTCCAGGGCTAGGGATTGAACCTGGCCCTTGAGCATGCTAGGCAAGTGTTCCACCAGTGAGCTATGATTCTAGCCCTCATTGTAGTTTTATTAATGAATATGATGTTGAGCACTTTTTCATGTCCTTAGTGGCCATTTGTATATCTTCCCTGCCCATTTTTGATATATGATTTGCTCACATTCTGATATATACTTTCTCACATTTTGGGGGCTTTCCATACTCTGGGTAGTGTGCTCTGACATATCCAGTTTTTTAACATTAGTAAAATCCAATTAATTATCTTTTCTTCACTGCCTGGTGTACGGTATACTATGTAAGACACCACCACCAAATCCAATGTCATAAAGATTTTCTCCTGTCTTTTATACTTTTAGCTCTTAAGTTTAGATTTTTAATCCACTCTTGGTTAATTTTCTTTATATGATGTGGCAAGCGTCCAACTTCCACTTTTTTGCTTGTCTAGTTTTCCTACAACCATTTGGTGAAAAACTCTTTTCCCCCACTGAATAGTCTTGGCACGCTTGTCAAAAAAAGGTAACTGACTTAATCCCAGCACTCAGGAAGCTAAAGCAGGAGGATCACTGAGAAGTAAGGCCGGCCTCAACTACATAATTCTATATAAACTTTGTCTCCAAAGGGGGTAGGGATTAATTGACTATATATATATGTGACAGTTTATTTTGAGCTCTCTACACAACTTTTTGATCTTTACATCTATCCTTAAATGCATTTGTTGTTGCTAAGAGTGGTGATGCATGTCTGTAATCCCAGCTGTTGGGAGGTTGAGGCAGGAGGATCACTGTGAGTTTGAAGCCAGCCTGGGCTACATAGTAAGTTCAAGGCCAGCCTGAATTACAAAGCCAGACCCTGTCTCCAAAAAAACAAAAACAAACATATACACATATACATATATGTTTCTCTTTTTGTGGTGCTGGGAATCAAACCTAAAGTGTTGGACATGCTAAGCAAGGACTCAATCACTGAGCCAAATCCTCAGCTCTCACATACTTTTTAATGAATGAGCAGGGAAGTGCTAAAATTAAATTTAACCTGATTTCTAGCATTAATTTGTTTTTGCTTACTCAGAATTCATTTATGCATAAGCTGGATTCCTCCTCCTATAAAGTGAGACTGAACTTTAGAATGCTTACAACTTCAACAATCTAATGATTTTATATTCAAGCTTTTCATTTATAGAGTTATACCATGTACTCCTAATTTGCCATATAGTCATGAAATACTTTTAACATGAAAAATTACTAAGGCACGCAATAATTTTAAGTGTATAATACATACCATCAATATCTGAAATTATTAGCATCTGAGGTTGAGAAAGACCTTCTTGAAGACTATAGAAATGAATTGTACTATCAAATGTTATGAAGCCAATTTTTGTTCTCGTGTTGCCAGGAAGCCTAAAACCAAACAAATATAAAAGAGTATTTTTTTTTAAAAACGAACATTTTATCAAGTTTTCATATTTTTTAATAAATTATTTTCTAAATATCACATGAAACATCTAGTTCAGTATTAAGGGAGACAGCTCAACATAAACCATGTCCAAAGCTCCCAGTTCTTACCCAGGAAAACATATCCTTCTCCAATGAAAAACACTACACATAAACCAACAAGTCAATGAAAATCATAACACAGCAATCTAAAACCTTCCCTATAATGCTATATATAATTACTTAGGAAGTAATATGTAACAAATGCTGCAAAGTATGTACCCAACTTTGCAGACAATTTAAAGTTATTTTATAAAAAATTATTCAGGAGCTGGGATATAGCTCAATGGTAGAGCACATGCCTAGCATGTGCAAAGCCTAGATTCCATTATAGAACAGCTGTTTAAAAATTTTGCACAAACATCTTTTACATCATTAACTGACTTAAATAGACTTTTAGAACATAATTACATGGCCTTTTTTGGTGTGTATTTTGAAAAGGAGTCAGTTTACAAACATTGTTAGCTTCAGATTTAAATTAAACGGAGGCACTTACAAATCCAGATTGTCTAACAAACTCTGGCAAACTGAATTCAAGTATCCAGTTTCAACTGCATTATGAGATACATCAAATACAAAGAGGTACACTGGAGGTTGTGGTGGTCGTAACTGGAAGAATAAAAAGAATCACATTAAATATATTTAACAAGATTAAACTCGGTGGGCAAGGTGGCACATGCCTGTAAGCCTGCAATCCCAGCACTCAGGAGGCTGAGGCAAGGGGATCACCACGAGTTCAAGACCAGCCTGGACTACAAAACGAGTTCAGTAGACTATAGTTTAGTAGTTTTGTAGTTCAGTAGACTGAACTACAAAGCAAGGCCCTGTCTTAAAAAAAAAAAAAAAAAAAAGATTAAACTTATTTGCAATGTCCACCTACAGCAAACCGTAAAATAAACATTATTTACACTCTGAGTGGTGATGACAGATAAAGCTCCACTTTACAATTTATATGTACGTATTTGAAGGAAAACTCAGTCTATGGCTGCCATGCTCCAGAAGGGTGTATCTCTAGGGAAGGAAGGGGAGACACGACGATGGTGTGCTGGCAGGACGGGCAGTGTCCAGCTGCCTGGCCTAGGGAGGGCTAACCAAGACGGTTACTTCCCCATTATGTAATAACCTGTGTATTTATATTACTCTAACTTTTCTATGTCAGCCTTTTGTCTCACAATTAGGGAAATTATACCTATGAAAGTGATAATTAGTTAGACAGTTGTTTTACCAACATATTTCAGCTAAATTCCATAAAAATGTGAGGCCCTACATATATTTTGCAATGTTCCAAATCTAAAGATTTGTTTTCAATTCAGTAAATGTATCAAATAACCACAATGAGAGTTGGGTATACAGTATGCTACCTTTGATGTGTTTGTGTACATACCACTTACTAAATTCATAAAATGCAGGTAAGCAAGGAAGGAGCAAAAACCTTTGTAATGAGTTTCTGAATTTAAAGGAAGCCATCTTTGCAAAAAGGTCCGGGAGATAAAAGAACATAGGAAGGCCAGTTCAAAAGAGCCACACTACAGAAAGCTATGACCAACCACTTAAATGCCACAAAATGTTTTCTCCATTACAACTTTGTGGTTAAAGAGACTGATCTCTCATAAAGTCCACAGTACAATGGACCCAACTGCCCAGACAAAGACTAGGCACAGGCCAGGGATGGTAGCACATACCTGTAATCCCAGCACTGAGGAGGCTGAGGCAAAACGACTGCAGAGTGATGTCTCAAAAAAACCAAAAGCAGGGGAAAGAGGGTCCCTGGGGGGCTCTATAAAATGTAAAGTACTAAACATTAAAAAAAAATTGTTAAAAAAATAATAATTTGTTTGCTTATTTTTGTTTTTTGAGACAGGGTCTCACTACATAGTTCATGCTAGCCTTGAACTCCCTATGTAGCCCAGGCTGGCCTCAAATTCATGGCAATCCTCCTCCCTCAGCCTTCTGGGTGCTGGGATTATAGGCAGGCACCACCATGCTGAACTTGAAAATATTTTTTAGGGGGTCCTTTAAAACAGGGTTTTGCTACGCAGTTCAGGCTGCCTTGAACTCATTCTGTAGCCCAGGCTGGGCTCAAACTCACGACAATCCTCCTGCCTCAGCCTCCCGAGTGCTGGGATTACAGGCATGTACCACCATGCCATGATTGAAAATTATTATTTTTAAAATGTAAGACCTCACATACTGTCACAAGTATATAAAAGTACTTGCACGAGGATCTTCATTGCAGCATTATTTGTAATAGAGAAAATATTAAATTGTAAATTTCTTAACAGACACCCAAGAAACTTAAGTGGAATTTTACACACACTCTCACTTTTCAAATGTATCCTTATACACAAAACAGATACTTTTATAATGAATTACTATTATGCTTTCTAAATTTAAAACATAAAATTTTGCAAGGTGCAGTGGCATACACCTGTAATCCCATCTACTTGAGAGGATGAGACAGAAGTTCAAGCTCAAGGCCAGCTTTACCAATTTCCCAAGATCCTGTCTCAAAATAAAGAATGTATAGAGCTGAAGATGTAGCTCAGTGCCTAAGTCCTGGGTTCAGTCTCCAGTACCATCAACAAAAACCCAAAACCCAAAATCAAAAAAAACCCATAAATTTTTGTGAAAGCATACTACACTGTTTTACTTAAAATCCAGTATTTATGAGTATACTGTATAAAAATATGAAAGCTTACCATGTATTCTGAAGGAGCCATAAATTCAATAGTAGCATTTTGAACTTCAGGTCTTCTGTGAGGTTCTCCATAAACTCTGGTCAAAGGGTTGTACATGAATTCTTCAGGAACTGTATAAAGTTAATACTATATTGAAACTAATCAGTACTAAAGGATGAATTTAATATATCTTGCATTTGGCCACTTTCCTAACTGAGGGGTTCATAGTTAATTTAATATTAAGAGATAAATTCATTTTTTTAATGTTCCATCCAATTTCCCCATGTACTCAATGGAACTAAATATGGCTTACATTTACAACTACAATCACTGTGACTCTTCTTTTCCTATCTCCTGATATCCTTTTTGTCTTAATTCTTGTTAAAGCTGTTTTCCTAAAATAGCTTCAAAAGGCTATAAAAATTCTAAGTACCAATTTTTTTTCCTAGATCTACTACTATACAAGGACATCAACATTTGACACATGAAACATACAGTCTAGATGGACCTAGAAAGCTAAGAGACTATTTCAGAAATAAAGCCATATGGGACTAGGACTTTCATTAACTAATGAAACATGTAAGTTATCCTTGCATCTCAAGAACACTGACAAAAGGTAAATATACATCTTGCATCAACTGTATTTATAACACATAGTACTCAGAGTACTTTCTAAATTAATTATCACGACACCTGACTTTCCAGTAATTACTTAAGAAAATAAATCCCTCTGTACCGTAAAGGGTGAGCTAGTTTGTCAGATAGGCTTGTATGCATATGAAAGAGGTTTCAACCTTTGTCATAATTCATCTTGTATATCACAATTTCATTTTATACACTCCAATATCTACACACAAACTGTTAAAGTATACTAACACTATACATATATTTTCTAACTATAGAGTGAGAAACTTTTTAATCTATACTCATTTTTCTCTACTCTTAAAAACAGATACAAATAATAAAAGTGGCTTTTAAACATCTTTTTTAAAATTAACTGTATTGGTACATTTTAGACATACATAACGATTATGTCATCATATGGAATTTATACTTATACATAATATATCTTAATTCTTTTTTTCCTTAAAAGTCTCTTTATATTTCTCTATTTCAACTTATTTCTTTTACTCTTTTTATTTCTCTTAATGAAATTTCCTTCCGAACAGATACCTACTTTCAACGTGAATACTGGCACGCCCATTTGCATCTCTAATCTTGAAACATCACTGTCTAGGCAATATTCTACAAACGTTAAGTTATAAAACAGGCCACTGCGTTCTCTTGCTTGGTGGCCACCCTCACACTATAGGGTGTACTTCTTTTCCTACTTTCACTTGGCCCAAACTCTGCATAGCCTGTTTCTTTTCCTACCTTTAATATACTTGGCTACTGTTTGAGCCTGTCTTGATGAATTCTTTGCTCAGAACAGGAAGAACCTAGAAACCACCTCTAAAAGGAGACTCCGGCAACCTGAAACCTGGTAAGATATTCGGCTTAGCCAGCCAGGAGACCAGGTAGGGCCCCTTGGGCACATTTTTCTGTTTCTCTCTAAAAGGCCACCAAGGCCTTTTCTTCTTCTTTCCCTGTCTCTCTCGCCTAGGCTGGGAATCCAGAGGACCACAGCACCAGGAACAGCTTATGGGATGAAGGAAGGGAATGCATGGACTCCGTGTTTTTCTTCCAGCTGCAACAGATCTACAGGCTGCGTGAAGTTTATCCCCCTCTTTCCTTCTCTTTCCCAGTTTTAGTCACTCAATGCAGATATTGTGTCAGTAAAAAGCAGTAAAAGAGCCTGTTATTAACCCAGAAAAGACCTCCACAAGAAGCGTGGAAATCTGAGCTACTCCTCAAACTTGGGTTCTACATCCCCAACATAATAGTAAGTTAGATTCTTTCTCCCATCGAATAGTTCAACGGCCACTGATTCTTTTCTCACTGTTTTCTAAGTTTTTCTATTCAACCCAGCCTGTGAGCCAAAACACCGCAGGACAGTTGGAGAGTACATAATCCCCAGAAAGTAGGGTCTACAGCCCCTTCCAGCTGGAGGAAGCTATAGAAAACAGAGACCTCCACTCCCTCATCATCCCATAAAGAATTGCGGGGAGCAGCAATTCTGGCCAGGAGTAGCAGTACACGCCTGTAACCCCAGCACTCAGGAGGCTGAGGCAGGAGCATAACCATAAGTTCAAGAGCAGCTGGGTTACACAGTGAGTTCAAGGCCAGCCTGAATTACATAATGAGACCCTGTCTCAAAACAAACAAAATAAAACAGAACAGAATTATGGCATTATGTGTGTTTCAGGGGGAAATGAGGCAGGAGACTGGGGTGTGGCACAGCTGGCTGGGGAAGTATGATCTGTTAATTACAAAATCCCACACCACACGCCCAGAATCATTCCCAAATCCCTGCACATGGACTCCCCTCGAGAACTGGAACACATTTTCCATAGGACAGCCTAACCTGATATCAGCCTGAGGAGGGAGTAATACAAAAAAGAGTTGCCATTGAGTTTTTACCACTAGGCTCTCTCGTGCATGGTGGCCACCCTCACACTAAAGGGCGGCGATGGCGAACCTTTTAGAGCTTTCAATGACACAAGCAGCCCACTGCGACACGTATGCTGTAGGTTCGCCACCACTGTGGGTATACTTCTTTTCCTACTTTTACCTATCCCAATCTCACTCTGCAGAATCTGTATCTTTTCCTAACTTTAACAAAACTTTGCTACCATTAAAAAAAAAGTTATGAAATAATTACTGAAGAAGATCCCCTCAATTACTGAGAAAGCTACACTCAAATATGCTTGCCTACCACCCTGCACAGAGCAGTGAGTGAATGAAGCAGCTTTCCTACAGCCTTAGTTTCTTTCACCCTAGAGAAAAGGCATGAGATAAGTTCTAAGAAAAAATATTTAAGTTAACTGACATAGATAATAATATGAAATACACCACTCATTATATACTCAACAGAAGAAATGTAAAGTGGTCTCAAAATAACACATATTTTGCTTTAAATGCATTATTTATTTACAAATATAAATCCACAGAAAAATATCAGTGGTGGCAGCTTTCTCTGTGTGGAAGGGTTGGTCACAGGTAAGTAACAGGGCCACTTTGTTTTTCCTGTTGGGGTGAGGCCTCGGCATGCTGTCCTGCCCTTCTGGCCTCAGCCTCCGAGTAGCTCAGGTTACAGACTCTTTTCTGGTTTTTTTAACCTCACTTTTTATTATCTGATTTTTGTACAGTGTGAGTAGAAATTGTAAAATGTTTCCAAAAAGCATACCGTCATTGATTCGGTAACATAAGTTACACTTCCATCTCCTTTGATCAAGAAAGCTGACAAAAGGGTTGATGTACGTCCTGCATGAGCGGCATCTCACAATTGTACTGGAGGTAACCACAGGCAACTGCTGTAAAAACAGAACTAAATTCTTAAAGGCAATGATCATTTGAAAAGACAGATATTGACCCATTCCTTCCAAATAACTACTGGAACAATGTACTTTTGGAGAAAACAAAACAGAAGAAAACATCTTCAAACTGCCATACAGCCTAGAAGCAAGAGGCCCTGGCTTCAATCCCCAGCACCACAAAAAAAAAAAAAATGAAACCAAAAATTCCCACACAAAGTCAAACATGGTGGTACACACCTATAATCCCAGCACTCTGGGATGCAAAGGCAGAAGGGTCACGGAGGTCAGGTAGGAGGATCGCAAATTCAATCCCAGCCTACATAACTTAGTGACTTAGAAAGATCCTCTCAAAATAAAAAGCAAAAATAACAAAAAATAAAAAAAGGGCTAGGAAAGGAGAAAAGAAAGAAAGAAGGAAAATGATGCCTACTGGTTTAATGAAAGGAACCGTTAATGCTTAAATTTTATTTTTTTTTAATTTGTTTTTATTTTTTTCTTCTTTACCAATTTTATGTGCTCGTATCTGGTAATCTGAACAACTAATCTGAAGACAACAATGTGCAATATAATAATCATTGGTGAATTCCTACCATCTTGTTTAGTGAAGCTCCAAATTGTTTCTAAGTGTTTTTTAAGTTACATTTTATTCTCTTTACTTGTTTGATCAATCTTGCATTCTTACATCTGGTGATCTGAGAACTAATCTGAAGACAACAATGTGCAACATAACAGCTATTGTTAATTCCTATCATTTTGTTTTGAAATCCTGTATCATTTTTGTTTTTGCCTTTGTTGTTGTTATTTTCTTATTTTTTTTCTCTTTAAAAAAAGGGGGGCAGGGGCTAGAGATGTAGCTCAATTGTACCTCAATCTCCAGTAGCAAAAAAAGAAGAAAAAATTTGCCACACAAAAAAATTATGTAACTGCAAAGTATTGGTTTTAAATCCTATTTCCTCTAGTATCATTTGCATTATAATTTGCCTTTTGAAACAAGTATTTGTCTTCTCATTTAACATACTACAAGACCCCCAAGCATGGTGGTGCACACTTGTAATCCCAACACTCAGGAGGCTGAGGCAGGAGGGTCATTGCAAATTCGAGACCAGCCTGGGCTACAAAGTGAGCTGGGCTACAAAGGCCAGCCTGAACTGCATAGTGAGACCCTGTCTCAAAAAGACAAAAAAAAAAAAAAAAAACCACAGACTACAAGACCAAGACAGTGTATTTTCTGGGATGGATGGCAGAGTTAACAGGAACATTCCAAAAGAATGAGATTATTATACAGCTTTGTTTGTTTGTGATAAGGTCTCACTCTGCAGTCAGGTTGTTCTAAAACTTAAGATCTTCCTGCCTCTGTCTGCTATGCTGGGATTACAGGCATGGGACACTACACCAGCTCACCAAGTCCAGCTTGTTACACAGCTTCTGATGTGAAGTTATAAGACCAACTTAGTTCTCACAGAAGATTTGTTATGAAGTTAAATTACATTAAAGTTTATCCTACATACATAAAAAAAAGTTTATCCCTACATATTAAAAGTTCTTAAGTCATACCAAAAATCAATAAAGCTAGGCATATAGCTCAGTGATAGAGCACCTGCTTAACACATGAAGCTCTAACTTTGACTCCAGCACTGTAAAGATTAAAAAAAATCAAAAGAAAATAAAATCATATCTCCAAATAGAGGCTTAGCTGGGAGACAAAGGCTAATCTTCAGGAGTGTGTGGGCATGTGTCAAGGGGCCACAGCCCTAGGACAAAAGTAAATCAGAGGTTTTCCCTTTTGGAACTATATTTTATTTACTGAGATGGGGCAACTTACTAAAGCAACTAACTTCATGCCAAGAATGGCAGAATGGGGACATTAGGGTAAAGTGCTTTAATAGGTAAATAATTTACAACATATTAAAAGAACACTGTTCGTGTATTTTTTTTCAGTACCTCTATTCTATTTAGCACCTCTTGAACTTTTCAATAACATACTATTTTACTTTGTTTTGTAGTGTCTGGTAGTAAAATTATTCACTGAATTATAAAGAAACCTGACAATGACTGCTGGCTATGGTGGCACACATCTGTTAGCCCTGCAATCAGGAGGCTGAGGCAGGAGGATCACTGTGAGTTCTTCCAATGCCAGCCTGAACAATGGGGCAAGATTCTGCCTCAAAAATATCAATCTGAAAGAGTAAAAAGCCAGGCATAGCGGTACACACCTGTAATTCCAGCACTCGGAAGGCTAAGGCAGGAGTTTGAGGACTACAATAGTGAGTTCAAGGCCTGTCTGAACTACATGGTGAGACCCTGTCTCAAAAAACAAAAAAAAATTTTTTTTTTTAAATTTAAAAAGTGCAAAAGGAAAAAGCGACATAGGACAGGTATAACAACAGAACAGCACAAAGGAAATCTGTCAGTGATCCAACTGATATTGACATCCTAAAAACAGCTCAAATTCCATATATGATTCTTGAATTGCTGCAAAAAACTTTCACCACTAACTTTCTGTAAGACAATTATTTTCATTAGAGAAACATACCACTAGATCTTTGAAAGGATGAAGCAACAGCCCCAGAGGAAGTTTGGCTTTGTTCAGTAAGGCCTGAGTCTGAGGAATGCTAGTCAGTGTGCATCGAAATAACCTGTATCGACATAAAAAGTATGCATTACTTACTGTTACCATTATTTTCTCACACACACACACACACACACACACACACACACACAAAGGATTTAAAAGGTACACATCTTAATATTAAATCAAGCTGGGCCTGGTGGCACATGCTTATCAGCACTTGACAGGATGAGGAGGGAGGATTACAAATTCAAGGCCAGCCTGAGTTACACAGAGTGTTCAAGGCCAGCCTGGACTACTCAGTGAGACCCTGTCTCAAAACAAAAAAGAAAAATCAGATTATGGTGTAATATTTCAATATATCCTCTCAAATTTTATCTCATTTAAATATTTAAATCCAAGTCCTTCTCAGAAATAAGAGTAGACAGTTACTCTGTATTACTCATTTAAAATACAATCTCTTCTTGGTTTGTATATACTAGTCTCTAGACTATTAAATGACTTATTTTTATTTATATAAATCTAGATTACACTAGAATTACTTGGCGATGACATAAACTTGCAAATGCAAGGTTTATTACTGTTTTGTTTTGTTTGAGATGGGTATTGTGTAGGTTAGTCTCAAATTTCTGGGCTCAAGTGATCCTCCTGCCTTAGCCTCCCAAACAGCTAGGGTTACAGGTGTGTGCCACTGGGTCCAGCTCAGGTTTATTACATAAAATTTCAGTTTTGCTGCAGGTTCTAAAAACACTATTTCAAAATAACAACAAAAAAATTTTCATAAGAAAATAACAAAATTCATTGTATCATTCTCTACTACATACATTTAAACTTCTGACAAATATTTAGGGAAAAATAATTATGTTTGTACTAAAATTTCTTTAAAGTGAGAACAAATAATTATATAGAATCTAATCTTTGTACTTTGGAATATAGCTATTACAATACTAATGAATATTACAATCTCATTAAAGCTAGTAAGAACAATACTCAATTCACGTGTTATAACCCTATTTCTTAAGTTAAATCAAATCAACTTTCATGGTACCTCATTCCTGCAATCCCAGCACTTGGGAGGCTGAGGCATGAGGATTGCCAGGAGTTAGGGAACAGCTTGGGCTACATAGTGAGTTCTAGGCCAGCCTACACTACATAAGGAGACTCTGTCTCAAAAAAACAAAACAAAATGAAGTTAATTTAGATCAAATCTCAGATATGCAAATGAGTTATATCTTCTGTATTCAGAAATTTTTATATATTAGCCTACTTGTATGGCCTATTCATAATACCTGCAACAAATAAGCAAAAGCCAAACTGAAATACAACACTAGAAAACAGAATATGCATAACATGACACTTAATAAGAAACAACATCTGAAGCCTTACTCTGGGTTACAGTTGAGTTTCTGGATATCTTCATGCAAATTTGGAACTGGAGGCTGCAAAGGTGTTGAGGGAAGCATCTTTCTTTCTTGAAGAAGATTGACAACGCGCAGGCCCTCTGGATGCAGACTTAATCCACTCATGCTTGCAGTTAAATGATTAGCACCTAAGGGAGTCTGCAGATACATATATAATTTTAAAGTATGTAACTTTTCTAAGTGTGTGGGTATTTGGTTCATTTCCCTCTTAACAACAAAAGTATAATCTAGATTTCTGGTTGGTATGGCTTATGTCTAGCTGTCTGCCACAAAGCCTCATGTGGCTATAGGTGGGGTTTTTCAGAGGGGGCTGTGTGGTTACCAAATTAGTCCACTGACTGGTCTGGCATAGTTCTGAGTGTGGATAATGGGAAGGCCCACCCTGTGTGCTACCTGCCCTAAGGGTGTGTAATCTGTATAAAATATAAGGGACAGAAAGAAGGCTCCTATCACTACTTCACTGTTTGCTGTCCTGCTGCCTTCTGCCTGCCATGAACTGTTTCTCCCCTCTGCCATGCCACTGACAATGAACTGATATCTCTATAAACTATAAGCTACAATAAACCTTTCCTCCCTTAACTACGAGCATCAGGTATTTTGTCTCAGCAACTAGAAAATTAACTAAGATACTGATCAATCTCTTAGTTCTGAAGAAATGAAGAATTTACAATGGGCTATTAAAATGTTCAATATACCTTCTTTTTTATTTTTCACTTTTGGGACAGGGTCTCCCTATATTATTCAAACTGGCCTTGAATTCACTATGTAGTCCAGCATAGCCTCAAGCTCATGGCAATCCTTCTGCCTCAGCCTCCCAACTGCTGGGATTACAGGTGTATACCAGCCTCCCAAGTGCTGGGATTACAGGCGTATGCCACCACGCCTAGCCTAATATACCTTTCTAAAAATTTCTTTATATATATACCGTTTTAACCAAAAGGAGAAAACACGTTTCTAAAAAAGTTCACCTGAGGAAAGGCCTGGGGGCCACTTGGGTAATTGAAGGAAGAAGGTGGCATTCCAGTTGCACTGCTAGCTGGTGCTGTGTTCTGATAACCAGGTGGTAAGGAGGGATATGCATATCCAACACTTCGGCTCATTTGGGGATTCTTAGTAGCAAGCTGTGGTGTTGCTAGAAACAAGGTAACTTTTAAGTTCTATTTTATATTCCAGGGTACTTGAAATCAATACATACATCCATTAAATTATGGGAGTTATAACTCCAAACTCTTCGAGATTAATTTAATACTGCCATCTTCCAATTGTATAAAATAAAGACAAATAAACACACCAGTAACAAAGAGCAACGATTAAAACCTAGTTAATGGAGACCGTAACCATAAGTATATAACAACTTTGGTATGGTTAATTTACTTTCGTATCATGCAGTAGCTTTTTATTTTCAGTACTGGAGATTGAACCCAGTACTGCACATGGTAGGCAAGTGCACTACCACTGAGCTACCTTCTCAGCCCCATATCATGAACTAATTCTGTCTAAATTTCCATTTAAAACAAATTTAATGAAGAGAATTTAAATAAATCTGATGAAAGTAGTCTATACAGTCAGAATAGTAATACAGTCATGATCCTAGGACTGACAGGAAATGTAATGAATAACTGTAAATGTGTGGAAATAAAATTATTTATCAGAAGGTATGGCTCCATGACATGATTATTAAGTGTTTTCTTAGTCTTCTATAATGAGCACATATTACTTCTGTACTCAGAAACGAGACCCCCAAAAAGCTTTCATAGTATCTCACCCAAGAAGCCACCTCCTTCAATTTCATCGTAACTACTACGTGCCATCATAGATCCATTGTTGGTATTTGATGTAATACCTAAGAAGGAAGTTCATTAACAAGATTTAAATTAGAATGATCAGTGTAATTTCTGAGATATAAATTAATTTCTAAAATTTTAGACAATTTCCCAACAAATAGCTTAAACCACAGCCTATCAAAAATGTCAAACGCTGGGCTAGGGAAGTAGCTTACTGGTAAGGCACTTGCCAGCACTGGAAAAAGTAGTCAAACAATGATGGGCAAAAGATGTGAACAGACATTTATCAAAAGAAGATATGCAAATGCAACAAATACGTGAAAAAATGCTCAATATCACTAATCAGGAGAATGCAAATCAAAATCAAAATGAGATAGCATCTCACTCCAGTGTGAATGGCTATTATCAAAAAGAGAAAATAAATAACAAATGCTGGCAAGGAAGTGGGGAGACAAGAGAATTCTCCCACATTAGTGGTGGGAATGTAAGTTAGTACAGTAATTATGGTAAAGAGTATTGAAGTTCCTCTAAAACAAGAAAAATATAACTACCAAAAGCAATGTTTACTATAGCAATACACATGACAGCCAAAACATGGAACCTCCCTAAGTGTCCCTCAGTGGTTGATTGCACAAAGAATCCGTGATACATATACATAATGTATTACTAAGCCATAAAAACTATATATTCTTGCCAGGCATGGTGGTGCAAGTCTGTAATCCTAGCATTCTGGGGGCACTGAAGGAGGATCCCAAGTTTGAGCACAGCCTGGGCAACTTAGGGAGATCCTGTCTTAAAAATGCAAGGAAAAGAAAAAACAAAGGCAGGGGTTGGGGGGCCTCATACAACTCAGTGCAAAGGCCCTGTCAATCACCTATACAGAAAGGAAAAAAAAGGAAAGAAAATCTTAGTTTGTCTTCTCCCAAACTGTATAGGACTGGAGATTAATGCCAGGAACATCTCTTTGCTTTTCTGGTACCAGGAATCAAACTCAGGACCTTGCACTTGCCAGGCAGGTGCTTGTGCCACTGAGCTATATCCCCGGCCAAACAACTGCTTTTGAGTCTAAAATTTACTTGCACTTATTCTGCTATCTCATGAACTCTAATTCGGGAACAGATTAAAATAATTCAGGAAACAGCATCAACCTCTAGCGCAGCGGTGGCGAACCTACAACACACACTTTGCCCCAGGCTATTTGTATCACTGAAGCTATAAAAAGGGCCGAGGCTATAGCTCAGCGGTACAATGCCTGCCTGGCAAGCACAAGGTCGTGAGTTCAATTCCAGGTACCAAAAAATACCAAACAAACTTACATCTTTGCCTAGATAAGGATATATTCCAAACCTTTACCAGATATTGAAAAAAAAAAACAGAAAAGAAGAAAACTATAAAAGGATCATCACTGCTCTAGCACCTAAACAAAGGTGGTAACTCTAACAGTCATATGAACGCTGAGCAGACAAGTTTAATTAATAATTCCAATAAATTCAGTAACTTCTTTCTGGTTTTCAAGAACAATTTTAGAATTAATACAGAAAACTGTAGAACTTTCAGTAGAAACAAATAAAACAAGAAACATCAAGTATGTGGATTCTTCTTAGTTAAAAATTTAGATTATTATAGTTTCATTTTTGAAGTTTTAACGTGGCACCCAGTGAGACATACTGCCATGCTGTCATCACAGTTACTCATCATTAACACTGAAGTTCCCCTACTTATAATACTTAAAAAAAGCAATGTAGAAGAAAATACAAAATAGTATTAACCATTTTCAAGTCTAGGGTATGGGCACATTTTTACCCAGCTTCTCTGTTTTCCTATTTCCACATCTTGCTACAATGGTTATGCTGCTAAGATCAAATATCTTACTTCACAAAACATTTCATTTACACTAATACTTACACTTCAAAGTTGCATCCCAAGATATGTTAAAAAGTTTTACTTATATAAAACTTCAAAATGCTTATATATTTCTCTTTTCATTCTGATAAATTTTAATATTTTTAGTAACATTGGTGATCAAAACACAACTATTTTGAAAGTTTATTTCTGCCAGTACCGTAACCACACCTGTAATCCCAGCACTCACATCCAAAAGGCCAATTTTTTAAAAAAGTTCTACATAGTAACAAAAATGACTAAGAGGACATGAGAACATAGTCAAGAGGGATAGTGCGTGCTCAGCATGTGCAAAGCTATGGGCTCAATTCCCAGCACCAGAGAAAAAGGAAAAACAAAACACCAAAAATACAGAGCTAAAATTAAAAAAAAACAAACAAAAAATAGAGCTAAAGTAGTAGCTCCCAAATGCTAGTCCACAACCCAATATAAGGCAATGAAAGTCCGAAGACATATTTTTCAACTTTACTCCCATCCCTAAATGAAACTAGATTTTCAGGAAAAACATAATTCTAATGCACAGAATTCAGGTAATAGTCATCAATCTGTCCTCAATTACCTTTGTTACATGATTAATTTACCTTCTTGGTTGACAACCGAATTGAATGAAGGCTGGGGTGCAGTTCTGAGTGGTGCTTTCGGGGGTAGAAGGGCCCTTACAGGAGGCAGGCCCCCCTCCAGAGGTGGGACCCTGGTTGGAGGAGGCCCAGGAGGAGCTCCTGGTTGAAAAGTGGTAGGCTGAGGTGGATTCCGTAAGGGAAGGGCAGAACCTATGGAAACATTGGTTTTTTAGCATGTCACTTAAGCACTCAAGACAGTAAGTCCCTAAACAGTCTTTACCAAAGCTGAATAACTTTTAAAATGACATTTTAATTATAATCTATTAGTTGATAATTATAAGCTGTTAGAAATATTTTAACTTCCTAAATGTATGACTTTACATGCATACTTTATGCATTTCCAAACCTCTACTATGCTCATCAATTACTAAAGCAGTATAAATTACACCAAGTCACTTCTAGAAGAGATATGATAGTGTAAGAGAATATGTAAAATAGTCCAGCAAAATTAACATAAATTTGATCTTATTATACATCAACCTATCTTTTTGACTTTTTAAAAATACAGAGTTCAAAATATAGAGTATTATAATATTTCTCCAATTTTTATTTCATTTTGCTTTGTTTTTATTGGGTATAATCTGATAAACTGAGATTATAAATTTGTACAATGTTCAGTGTTTACCTAATAATAAATTTTATTTACCATTTATAATGACTTTAATATTTTATAGATATGGCTGGGGGTGTGGTTCAAGGGTGAAACAACTGCCTAGCATGCTTGACACCCTGGGTTCAATCTCCAACACCACACAGACACACAAAAAATTACATATATAAACACACTATGATACATTAAAAATATAGATATTTTAGCACGCAGTCTCACTAAGTTGCCAGGCTGGCCCTGGACTCAAAGGATCCTCCTGCTTCAGCATCCCAAGTAGTCTGGGATTACAAGCATAGACTATAGGCATCTACTACCATGCTTGGCTCTTTTATTTTTTTTAATTAATACTACATTTTGAATCTAGTCTTCCTTATACAATGGCATAAACATTACATCAAGGGCATTCCTGGGCTGGAGATGTAGCTCAGTGGTAGACCACTTGTTCAGCAAGCTAGAAGCCCTGGGTTCAGTCTTCAGCACCAAAAAATTAAAAAGCTAAAAAAAAATAACATTCCCTAGGGTTGAAATTCAGGAAATGACCGAGTGCAGTGGCATATACCTAAAAGCTTAGCTATTTGGGAAGCTGAGGCAGGAGGATATAAGTGGAGGGGTGCTTGGGCCACCGGGACACTGTATCAAAAAATAAGATAAAATTAAATTAAATTAAAATAAAATGGAAGGAAGGAGGGAAGAAAGAAGAAAGGAAAGAAGGAATGAATAAGTAAGTGATCCAAAATTTATATACACATATAAACATTATAGCCAGAGGTGGCGGCACATGCCTGTCATCCCAGCACTCGGGAGGTAGAGATAGGAGAATCACCATGAGTTCAGGCCACCCTGTGCCACATAGTGAGTTTATGGCCAGCCTAAATTATACAGCGAGACCCTGTGTCAGGAAAAAGGAAGGAAGGAAGGAAGGAAAGAAGAGAATGAAGGAGTAGGGAGGAGGGGGGAAAGAGGGAGGGAAGGAGGACTTTATACATAATAACAGCAATAAAGTTTATTGACAATATAATATACAGTCAAACCTGTATTTTATAAAACTAAAGGAATAAATGTATCCAAATATGAAACTTGTAAAAAGCTTTTTAATACTATTAAATTTCTAGAGCCAAATTGAAAAATCATGGGGCTGGGGATTTAGCTCAGCGGCAAAAGCGCCTGCCTGGCAAGTGCAAGGTCGTGAGTTCGGTTGCCAGTACCGGAGAAAAACCAAAAAAAAAAAGAAAAATCATTGTTATTGGTATGGTTGAGATCCAAAAGTTCTTTCTATTGAAGGTTGGGTTGCAGCTGGTGGGCTTTGTGGGAACTAACTGGATCACAAGAGCTCTGAGTTCATTGGGTGGATTAATCCACCGAGGAGAGTTCTAGCTCAGTGGCGTTTAGGAGGTGGGACCTAGTTGCGGGAAGTGCTGTGAAAGGTCTATCTGGGGCTGGCCCATTCCTCTCCAGCTCTTCCCCTGTATGTACTTCCTGCGTGCCACGAGCTGAGCAGGCAGGAAGTACATACTCTTAGGCCCTTCCACCAGGATGACCCTGTCTCTCCCACACACTCCCACACTCACAGCATGTACTGCACCTGTCAGCAAAGTGAAGTCTTCATGCCTCTACTGTTACTCTCAGGTATTTTGTCACAGCAAAGGGAAGCTGACACACACTTATTAATGGACTTTAAAGCTCCTAACAAGACTAAGCAGTGTCTTGTTGGCAAAGCTGAAGACAGAGATTACTACCAAGTAACAACCTTATCAAAGAAGAACTCATCATATCTACTGCAACACACAGAGGCCAAAGGAACAAAGGGGCAAGGTACACTGCCAACTCAGCATGAACAAGAGTGCATGACACAGTTGGGCACCAAGATATAACAAACTAACTCTAACAAAATATAAGTAAGCTCATAGAGACTCCTCACAGCTTTACAAGAATATTCTGGAATTCTAAATACTCTGCATTTCATAAAACAAACATTTATTTTTCTCAAATTGAATTTTTTGGGGGAGCAGTACTGGAGATTGAACCCTGGGTCTTGGGTATGCTAGGGAAGCATCAAGTCAAAGAATTACTATTTATGATATTAACAGCTAGAATTTCACAATCAGTCTCAGAGTCCCAAAGCTAATTAGGGAAAGCATGCTGAAAGGTGGCCTATTCAGAAAAAATTTAGAAAATTTGAGGACTAGAAACTTGGTACAGCTGGGCGTGGTGATGCACGCCTCTAATCCCAGCACTCAGGAGGCTGAAGCAAAAGGGTTGCCACAATTTCAAGGCCAACCTGGGATACATAGCAAGACCCTACCTCAAAAAAACAAAACAAAACAAACCGAACAAATAAAAAAAAGAAACTTGGTATAACTGAGATACTCACATTTTATATATCAAACTATCAGGTACTTTCTATCAATTATGGGTTGAAAAGAAGTTTTAAAATGAAGGGGTTTTTTCCTAGAAGCGTTAGAAAAAAGAAGGGGAGTCATACATTTATTTTAGGTTCATTTTAGCAGCTTATATGACTTTCCTCCCCCCTTGCATGAAAAAGTTCATCAATGTCAGCACTTACTTATGCCTCACTATACCTACAGTCAAGGTCCTCTGTATAACTGAGGGTTTCTATGAAAGGCAAAGGAAATGCAGATTCCTGAACCTGTGCCCTTTTAAGAGAAACCACATCTACTCTTTTTTTTTTTTTTTTTTTTTTTTTT